TTAAAGAAAATATGACAGAAATAAAGGAGACAGGGTAAAAGATCTTGCAAAAAAAGGTGAAATACATTTTTAGAAAAGAAGTTTCAGAATAAAGAAGTGAAATGTTTTCTTGATGCAGAAAAATCAGAACATAATGAAATTGAAGAAATACTTTAAAATATGGATCAGAAACAGATTAAAGTAGAAATACAAATGACAAGTTAAGAGAATGACTAGATGAGGACTTCTTACTGAACTTACAAAAAAGTTGGTTAAAGCCTTGATGAAACCTTTGAGATGGGAAAAAGAAGAGAGATCAAATTTTATGACAATATTTGAATAAATTAAAGATTAAGATTGGAAGAAAAGGAAAGAATATAAAGTTGGTTTGTTTGATCAACATTAAAATAAGACATATTTGTGTACCTGGGAGTTTTTGCATCTATGGATTCGCGTATGGATAACGATGGGTTATGGGAAAAAGAAATATTTCTTATAAATATTGTTATCATATAGGGGATGAAAAATTATTAATTCTGTCTGTACTTGTTCTGATGAAGATGAGAAGTCAGTTCTTTAATATTTCTTTTCTCTTTTCTTTCTTTGCACATTTTATTTTTCTTTATTCTTTCTTTTTCTGAGTTTAGTTTGTATTCTCTTTTACTATTATTAGAATTTTTGATAAAAACTATTAAAAACAGAAGTGATAGGATCCTAAACATTATCGATATAAAAGTGTTATTTAGATGTTTTTTAATGAACAGAGCAACAGGACAGTGTTAACATTGTCTGTTAAATATGTCATGTGTTTTTCCATGTCTCAGAAAGAATTCTCAAAAAGAATAAACGTATATTATCCTCAAGTTTTAGAAATATTATTTTTCATGCATCTGTTCTATAGCAATTATATAGAGTACTTATATATACAAACTTATATATTATATAGAGTACTTGCATAATATTATGCAAGATTGTGATTAAAAACACTCCTGAAAAATACTTAGAACGGTGAACGAAAGTGTAAATAACAACAAAAGGGAAAGAAAAAAAACATGTTAACTTTTACCAATATCAACAAACATTAATATAAAAATGTACATCCTACTCCTTCTTCATTACTGAAAAACAACTGAAATAAGTATTAAAAACTATTTTGCTAAACCAAAGTTCTGTTATAGTGTATTTGAATATCCAGCAAGTAATAATGTTTTAGTGGAGCTATATTTTATTAGTGGAGCTCTATTCCACTCCAATCTGTTTTGTTGTTGATTTAGGGCTCTTCCTCAAATTTACAAATGCATGCAAATAACAACAGAAATGATGGATGTATTTGCTTGCAGAGACTAAAGGGCTTAACGTTTAATTAACTCAGGACAATATCTGGGATGTTAAACTAGTGCAAGAACAACCCAATTGCAATCCTGCAGTTGTTCAGGGCAAAACTATATATTGTATAACTCAAAACTGTGTTGTAAGAGGAAAGGAGAGTATAAACTTGTAAGGAAAGTTTACAATTTGTTGTACAATTAGAACAAATAGTTTCCCATTAACAATTATCTGATCCATACTATTGAATTGATACACTGCTGTAATCAGGAAATCATTAACTCAAATATGAGCTAATCTTCAGTATCACAGCATACCCTAACAGAAATCAAAGTTCCATGTTTCTATAGAACACAAGACAAGGAAGAAAAAAGCAATAAAAGTGTTTAATTTTTAAAAAGCCATTAAAGATACAATTAGAAATAAGATTGACAAGGCTGAGATTTGCATAACTTCATCATTCTACAGCCCCACAAATGCAGCAGAATGGAACCCAAAAACCCAGCAAAACTTGATAAGAACATTTTTATTTAAGGTTTATTCTTTTAAGCAAAATATTCAGGGATTAGAAACCTGTATTATTCCCTGAAACTCAGCAAGCATAACGAACACCATATAAACACCAAACACATTGAACATTTACAGATCCATTTAAATTACATGAAACAAATGTGAATACACACAAGATACAGATATACATATAGGATTAACTTAAACAAAAGTGAATATATTTACTTTATATAATCTGTTGAATTTCATCACAATATTTGGTTTCCTGGTTTCAGACCTAAATTGAACATATCTGTGTTGTTACAATGAATGCAAAGTAAGAGATGTATACTCCGAAAATATTTAAATCAAGTAATTAATGATTACCACAATGATTGCACAATACAAATACTGAAGAATAAATCAAGCTATAAAAACATATTGTGCATAAATATGAATCTCGTAAACTCTGATTACAGCACCAAGGGCCTATAATTGACAATCAGAAAAGACAGCTGTGAGAGTTCGTGTCTGTGTGTGTGTGTGTGTGTGTGTGTGTGTGTGTCATATTCAATAATGAATTTTTGATTTTTTTAAAAACAAGTGAAATATAATTCGAAATGCTACAGGAATTAAAGGCATACTGATAAGCCCAAAATAATAAGTTTTATATGAGGAAACATTAAATTTTGTGGGATTCCTGACTGTGTTCCCCTATTCAGAGGCTGCGCGGCTTCGAGACGGATTTCAATGTACTTCAGGAAGGAGTAGCATAATAGCAAAATGCATAGTTTATGTTATGTAAATTAACAAACATGTTAGTCGGAAAGCTGCAACTATTTCTTAAATTCAATATTAATCGTGTTCTACTATCCGTATGAATTTGTGTATGCATTGCTGTCGATATCAAAGCTGATCGTTTGGTCGTTAGCGTAAAAGCACCGAATGCTCGTGAATTTGGGGAGCCCCCCTTTCCCCTTACACGAGCCTTGCCTTAGCAATTCTTAGTACCGTCCTTTTCTATTTACTCTGAGCTTCAATCCTCCAATCCAAGAAACCCAACACTCTTCTCAAACTGCGCTCCCATCTGCTGTTTTGGCCCAGGCAAGAGGAGGAGTCGGGAGAAATAATCCAAACAGCTAATCGCGCTTTCGGCGCCCCCCAGACCTTGTAGGGGCAAGAAAAGATTACCGGGACACGTGCGCCAAGGAATCTGGTCGCAAAGTCGACTATTTGCTTTGCGCCCCCCCCCCCTAGTGCCAAATCCAGCCTTTCTTCCCCCTCCCTCTCGTCCCGCACATACTTTTGGATCCCGCCTCTCCCAACTTTTTGACTCACTCTTGGTGGCGGCGATCAGCGTCTTGCCATCCTTGAGCAGCTCTTTGATGAATTTGTTGGTTTTCTCTAGCTCCGCTTCGTGAGCCCGTATCCTTTCCCGGAACCAAGGGCTGTCCAGGTAGCAATCGCTGAACTCCAAAGGCTGCAGTCCCATGGCTGCTGCTGAGGTGACGGCGGCGGCAGGGTTAGACCAAAATACTTCAGCCTATGTAATCCTTCTCCGAGAGGTTGCAGGAGGAGCACGCCCGCCTTCTCCTCCAGACCAGAACCGGTCACTACAGCGCCTCACCCGGGCAAAGCCGACAGCCGCCGAGGACTATCCCAACCCCTCTAGAAGAAATGCGGGAGAACCGGAGGGCGCCGAGGAACGCCACAGGAAGGAGACTGCCGGAGAAGAAGTTGGTCGTTGAGAAACCCGCCACCAGCTCCACGGCGCACCCTTGGACCGCCTCGGGTGCTCCGCTGGAAGTCGAGGGAGAAAAAGCTGGGCTTCTCCGAAGAAGCTCCCCGGACGAGCCTCCCCCCGCGGACTGGCTGGAAGAGGGGACTAAGGCTGGCCCGCATCTGCATTCCCTCCTTCGGTCCCGCCTCCTTCCCAGGCTGAGTCTCCACTCCCGGCCTTCCCGCCTCCGGTTTTTCCAAGTTTTTCCAATCTGACGCCGAGCTTTTCTGGCTCGGCTCCTCCCTTCAGCCGTCCGGGTCTTGCCTCTCTCACGCTCCTCAGGGTGACGGAGGAGTCTCCCTTGGGAATGCAACAGGGCGTTAGCTTCAGCCGCTGCTTTGGGACTCCGCGGTTCTCCCAGCTGCCTGGTTGGGATGGTTTAGATAGATTCGAACAAGCCGCAGGAAACAACGGCGACGCTCTCGTCGGCCCTTCAGACCAACGTCGTTCTGTTTATTATGCAGCCGAAACAATGAACGCGGTAGCGGCCGTTGGGCTGCAATTCTTGGCGTCTGTCCATTAAATTAGGGCGATTTCTAAATAAATGAATTCAAAACTTCACTTTACTTCCCCCCCTCAGTTACACTGAATAAAATCAGCTTTCCGAATCTTGATCTTTTAATCAAGAGGGCGGGGGGTGCATAAGCGCACCAACGCACCTACCGTCCCTGTCCTAATGTTTCTTTTTATTCGTATCCATTTCCAAAATCATGTTTATACTTAGGTTATCCAATACATGCTTGACGAAATAAATAAAATAAAAAATAAAGACGCTCTCGCAACCGGTGGTAGCCCTACAATTTTAATTCATCCTGGAAGGTACACCCTAAAACTCTGGAGTAAGTCCCTTGCATTGGGGGTTGATGTATGAGCGTGCATGGCGGCGCGCGCGTCTACGTGTGCGAATCTACCGAGAAATAAGCCTTAAATAAGTCACTAAATACAACTACGGATCGACGCACGTAGAACCGCACTGTGCGTGAGAGAGAGAGGCACTAAGACCTCCACATTCTTTTCCTAAGCACGGCGGCGAGGACGGTGACGACGGCAGGCGCCGCGAGGCCACGCAGCATATGGCGCCGCCCTTTTCCCTGCCTCACAGAGGCCTCCGCCGGCTCCTCGTTGAAAGTGGACGGGTTTTCTGAGCTCCACTTTCCACAACGCGCAGCGCGGAGGGAGTGAGAGATCGAGGTGGAGCGGAGAACGTGCTTGTTAAAGTGGGCGGTTGCGCCCTGATTCCCCCCTCTTGCCTGGGCTGCTTCTCTTTCCGGAATCTGCGAGTGTTGTCCGAGGAAGCTCTGGCGAAGTGCGGGTTATTCGGAAACGTTACACTGGCTGTCGTAAACGCGTCTATGTATGGCACGAGAGAAGGTCTTCCACGCGGCGTTGCTTTTTTTGTAAGCGAGAAGCGGAGATCTTGGTCCCCTTCCTCTTCGCCTTGAACTGTGAACAGTTTGAAAGGTTAAGTAAGGTTCCGCGTCCTTCGTTTTTGCATGGGGCGGGAGGGCGATTTGCGTGCGAAGGCCTTCATCTAAGACTAGCATTTCTGAACAAATATTAATAAATTGGTAGATTTACCCAATGATGAATTCTGCTCTGGAGTTACTACGTAGCATCTTTTCACGAGGAAATTGAAAATGCCAGGCGCAAAGGTGGTTGTCTTGTTAACCTCACAAACTCAAACTTTACATGTTATTGCACTGCTTTGGTTAGCCTTATATTCTGCCTTTTGTAGTTTCGTGGGGTTCTATACAATATTGCTATACATAGCAATGTTCCCAACACTTTTTCTTCCCTACTATCCCTTTTCACTTTTAAAAACAATGTAGGATACTGAAAGAGCTTTTGTTGTTTGGGTTTCTGTATTCCAATATAATTTAAATTTAAGGTATTGATGTTAACTTTTAAAGTTTTAAATCTTAGAAAGTTTGGGACCACTTTTCATGTAATTCCATCAAATAGTTAATACCTATGAAACATGTCTTGCCTATTTGTCTTATTTATTTATCTAGTAAGGGCAGATTGGTTGCTGCTGGGAAAAATACAATTTGTTGTCTCCTCGGACCAGATCTACTCTGGCCCTTTAAAAGTATGTCTTAAAACTCCACATAATGTAATTTGTAAGTAATTGTATTATTGTAAGTAATTTGTGTTTGTGTGTGTGTGTGTGTTTTACCCGCCACTGTTGGCGCATGGGCTGGCACTTTTTTTATGTCGGACATAGCGGCAGGGCTTTGGGACATAGCAGTAGGGCTTTGGGACATAGCGGGACGCCTCTATGTTGGACATAGCAGCAGGACCTTTGGACGCCCCGGCTCTGTGTCCACCATTGAGGCAGGACGCCTCTATGTCGGACACAGCGGCAGGGCTTTTGGATGCCCCGGTGCTGTGTCCACCATAGAGCCGGGACGGCTCTATGTTAGACGTAGCGGCAGGGTGGCTTTTGCCTCTAGCACTGGGGCAGCAGGGTGGCCTTTGCCTGCTTTCAAGAAGTGGCCAAAAGCCGCCCTGCCACCCCAGTGCTAGAGGCAAAAGCCGCCCTGCCGCTATGTCGGACATAGCGCCGTGGTGGCAGTTCGGCTTTTGCCCGTTTTCAAGAAAGCTTTCTTGAAAGCGGGCAAAAGCCGCCCTGCCGCTCCAGCGCTAGAGGCAAAATGGGGGGGGGGGGGAAAAGCAGAGATTAACAGCACGGGAGCCAGTTGGGGAATCGTTTTGTCACCTGGTTACCTATCCCGTCTGTCCTCACCCGTCAACCAAAGTGACAATTTCCAGCAGAGGAGAATGGCCACCGCCGAGAAACAGATGGCGTTACGTTCAGAGAAACACGCAGAGGGATCTAGCTTCTAGTCCCACTCTGACACCCCTTCCCCGCGCTTCCTCCTCCTCCATCCCGTCGGCTCCCTTTGCAATCCCAGCGGATCTTCCCCCCGGATGGACGGTGTGCACACCCCAGACCCTCTGCGCGATCCAGCATTAAGCATGTCCGTCCCCCCCATCCTCTCAAGTGCTTACAGCCCGCTTACAGGGAGGTAATGTCGGGCGATAGGGTGCACGGGATCACCCGGGCATTGTCACAGAGCGCGTTATCTTTGGTACAAGTGTACGAAGCTGGGCAGGCGATCTTCCCGGGTCTGCTCCCTTGGACGCCCTGGCGCTATGTCCGACATAGAGGCGGGATGCCTGTATGTTGAACATAGCGCCGGGTCAGCAGGGTGGCTTTTGCCTGCTTGCCTCACCAGCCATAAAC